TGGCAAAAAAATGTCCTGTAAGTACTAAAAGAAAATTATTGACTACGGGAAATTTTGACGCTTACGGAGACGTTTTCCAGAACTGGTTAGCACTCGGGATAATTGAAAAAGTACTGGATAAGAATAAATATAAGGGTGTACATTATTAACCTCTAGAGTGGTTGTTAAAGAAAATAGTAGCACGAGTATAAGACCAGTGTTTAACGCAAGTTCTCATTCACTTGGTTACCCATCATTAAATGATTGTTTATCTACTTTACCAAATTAAATTGAAATTATACCTTTGATTCTTAATCGGTTTCGCAAGAATTACGTTGGCGTCACTTCAGATATAGAAAAAGCGTTCTTGCAAATATCTATAAGGGAAACAGATTGAGACTTTTTGAGATTTATGTGGTTCAGTAGGGATAATCAAGAACAAGTTGACCTGTATCGGCATAGAAGGGTAGTTTTTGGTATTACGTGTAGTCCGTATTTATTGGCCGCTACAATACAATACATCATTTGAGTGTAGTTCCCGAAAAGCTTAAGTCATACAGCGGAGATTTTGAAAACATCCTTTTATGTAGATAACTGTGTGGCTAGTATGAATTCAGAAATAGAAATGAGAAAGTTTGTAAATGAATCACAAATAATTATGGCTTCGGGTCATTTTAATTTAAGATTCTGGAAATCCAATATAAGAAGTGTTGTGCCAGAGGAAGATTCCTCCACGGAAGGAGATGTGTCTGTTTTGGGCCTTGTATGGCATACAGTTACAGATACCTTATCTTGCAAAATAAGTCAAGATATAAAATTGGATGACCCAGTTACTAAAAGACTAGTTTTAGCAGTAGCTCATCAGGTGTTTGACATTATAGGGCATATGGCTCCTGTAATGTTGATTCCAAAACTAATTTTACAGGAAACTTGGAATTTAAGGCTTAAATGGGACGATGTTCTTCCCGATGAATTAACCAAAAAGTTTAGGTTTTGGCGTAAAAAGTTGTACTTGCTATCCAGTATCCAAATACCTAGATGGATAGGTCTCAGAATCTATTAATGAAGCTGTGGAGTATACATCTCTTTTGTGACAGTAGTAAAAGTTGCGTATGGTGCATGCGTCTTTTTAAGAGTACAGAGTGGCAAAAAGGTGAAGGTTAGTTTGGTACACGCAAGATCGAGAGTAGCGCCTTTAAAACCTATTAACGATTCCTCGATTAGAACTTCTTGCTTGTAATATTGGTTCTAGGTTATTGTCTTCAGTTATTAATGATATTGGCCTACATGAAGTTCGTATTCATTGTTGGACTGACTCCTCGACGGCTTTAAGTTGGATACGGCGAAATCAACGTTGGGAAGCATTCCTTTTTAATCGTGTACAGGAAATCAGGTCTTTGACCTCCCCCACTGTATGGCAACATGTCCCTGGTAGTTTCAATCCTGCTGACCTACTTTCTAGAGGTTGTCATGCAGAACAATTAATAGAACGGAAATGGTGCGAGGGACCTGATTGGTTACGGAAAAATGAGGCAAATTGGCCTAAATCTAACGAGGAACCAGATGAGGATTCAGTTAATTCAGAAATACGTTTGACAGTTATTGTTACGTTGGTAAATAATGATAATTGTATTAGATGGTACTATAAGTATTTCTCATCATTTAAGAAAATTGTAAGAATGTTATCATGGATATTCAGATTTTATAATAATGTACGCAAGAATAATAATAACAACCATTCTAAGGATTTAACTGTATCTGAAATAGAAAGGGAAGAAATAGCTTTAATGTTATTAATACAAAAAGAGTTGTTTAATGGTGAAACAGATGATAAGCTAAGACGACTCAGACCATTTGTCGATAGTCAGGGTCTAATAAGAGCTAAGTCTAATGTTGCTTATCGTGACGACTCTAGCAGCTTTAAGTTTCGCATCATATTATCTTCTGAACATCCAGTAGTCAAATTATTGATATTAAGTGCACACAAAGATTTGTTCCATGCAGGTACTACATTATTGATGTCGCATTTCAGAGAAAGATACTGGATCTTAAAATCACGTAAAAGTATAAGGAACTGTATAAGAAAATGCGTAACATGTCAGAGATTTAAGGCTAAAAGAGGTGAGACAGTCCCAGGCGTTTTACCAAATGATAGAGTTCGTGATTCAGCCATTTTTGAAATCGTAGAATGTGATCTTGCAGGACCCTTGCATTTAAAGAATGGACGAAAATTATGTATTGTGCTCTTCACGTGTGCAGTTTATCGTGCTATCCATATGGAACTGGTTACCTCATTAACAACTGACTAATCAATTTTTTCAAGCTTTAAGGCGTTTTATCGCACGTCGTGGACACCCTACCACCATGTATTAGGATAATGGATTCAATTTTGTGGGTGCAGAGAGAGTTCTGCAAACCGATTGACTGGGACTGCCTTCTGCTCTAAGGCTGCTGAAAAGAGAATACAATGGAAATTTAATCCTCCATCCGCCGTTTGGTGGGGGTGGATGATAGCAGCGTTTAATACAAATTGTAAAACAAATATTGAGAAAAATTTTAGGTCGTGCTTCTCTTGGTTATGAAGAGTTACTCACCGTCTTGTGTGATTGTGAAAGAATTGTCAACTCAAGACCACTTAAGTATGTACGTGTCTGACGATATTGAAGATCCCTTGCCTTTAACTCCGAGAAAAATTTCTGCATGAAACTCCACAGTCAGGTGTACCTGATATTGACAATGTGGACAAAGAAAAATTGAGTAGAAGAGCGAAGTATCTCCAGGAATGAGAGAATTGTAAGAGTGAGATTTTTGCTCTGAGTATCTAGGGCAGTTAAGACAGCAGTCTACCAGATAATTACAAAAATAAACCCTCTCTCTGTAGGAGAAATTGTCTTGCTTGGAGGATCAAAATAAAAAACCGTGCATATTGGAATTTAGCACGTGTTATTCGGGTGATCCCTGGTCGAGATGGCAACATAAGAGTTGCTCTTGTAAAAAGTAATAATTCAGAGTTCTTGAGACCAATACAGAGATTGTTTAGATTGGAATTGGATAATATAATAGATAATACTCAAGCAAGTTCCTTTCACCACCAGTAGTGGTAGAGTTGTAAAATCACGAATAATGTAATTCATGTCTTTGAGTTATTATGATTTATTTTGTTGTACTATTATTGTTGTATTATTCCTCAGTATTAATTTTGTTTTCAAGTAATATGATTTAAGTATTAAGTAATTTTCTTTGTTATATAACCTTCATTTAGATTGAATGTAAGTTTTATTGTTTTGAGTGTGTAGCCATCCACTCTAAAAGGTGGGAGAATTGTGGCGACACACTGCCTTTCTGTGGCAACCCTAAAGAATTCGTCTGTCACGAGGATCACGTGCCCAGATGCATCATTACGTCTACGTCTGCTTTTCTGTTTGATAGTTAGTTGCATTAAAGATTTTGTAGAATAAGAAATGGCGTGAAAAATAAATGTTGGTGTTTTTAAAAATTGTCAGCTCAGATTTTTGAAACTATGATTTACTTGTTAAGAAACAATATGCATCACATTCTTTAATAAAATTTTATTAAAGATTTAATTATTTCAAAAACCTTTAATGCATGATAACCATTTAATAAATTAATGCAGGAAAAAATGATTTAAATAAAAAAATTCCAACTTCAAAACTTCTGTCTGTAAATTAAAGTTAAAAATGTACATAAAAAATAAATTTACTGCTTGTAAATTAAATAAAGAAAATCAGATTTCTTTTCATTTTAAAAAAAGATTTCTTTATACTCAGGACTGACTGACAATGGCAAGTCCAAGCATAACCGACATTAGATGTCAGCTGTATCCAAAATTATGCACTCCCCTCTTTATGTCAGAAATTTTGTACTTGAATATCATTATCAATTTTTCTTGTAAAAGTCCTCGAATTTTTGTATATGAATTATTGTTCTAAGTAAGAGTAGTTTCTTTCTTTGTTCTTTTTTTATGTTTTTTTGCTGTACAAGGATCATATAAAATGCTAATTCTACACTTTATATTTGTGAATTCTCTCGCCTGTAGTGTTGAAACTGGTTTCATAAAATTATCTACCGTATACCGAAAAACTTTGAAATCAGAAATACATAGCTATGATAAACACTTTAGGAAATAAAGTACCACATTTTTCGAACATCTTGCATAATAGAGCTCAAGAAATGGTACTGTTACTCATTCAGAAAGCACATTTTTTTGCATTTATTTCCAATTTTCATTGAATTTTTATAACTCTCTTTAAATAAGCCCAATAGAAAATCAGTTTTGTGCTCAAATGATAACCTGCCATTTTTCTCTGCAAGTACAATATGAAAAAAAAAAAAAAAAAAAAAAAAAAAAAAAAAAAAAAAGGCTTACATTTATAACCAAAAGTAATAATTTGAGGATATTTTTTAACTAACTGCAAAATATATCTCTTTTAGTTCATAAAGAGTATTTGTGAGAATCAGAGCAGCACTTTGTGAGGTCAGATAAAACAAAATGACACAGATTTAAGTATATTACCCATATTTGTATTTTACTATTTATCCATTTGTGAAAAAAAAGAGTTGCAGTTTCAATTTGCAAGCAAAGGGCCAATCAAAAAAAAAAAAAAAAAAAAAAAAAAAGGCAACCTGTATAATGGGATTGTTTTCTTCCCCAAGGAAACTTATTTAAAGTATAGAAAAATAAAGATATGGGAATGTTCAAAGGAAGATAAGAACCTTTAATCAGTTGACTAAAATGTGCTACAATGGGCAAGGCTCATCTCTATTTCAAAGAATGGCAAATCTAAATTTATGTAGCATTGAAAAAGCTTCACCCTCAACACCGGTTAAAAGTAAAAATAAAAAAATTTGTAACACTGGGTGCACATTTATCAGAACTAGCCCTGAAAACAACTTTTACAGATATCAAAAATATATAATTAATTGCACCAGCAAATCCCTTCCATCCAAATTTGAGAAAACTTATTCATGTTAGCAGAAGAGACACAAATTACATAACTTACCTTTTCATCTGGAATACGCTCATGCACTCTTTCTATGTATGCTTCATAATCACTACTGTGCACAAGAGTATACCTTAATAAGATACGAGCAAAATCAACTTCAGATATTGTGGGCATTCCTCTAGAAAACTCTGTAAATTCCAACTCCAAAACTTCTGTTTGTAAATTATCCATAAACCTGGACAGAAAAGTGTTTACAACTTTTTAACACAGATATACATTAATATTATAAGATGCTGAAAATGTAACATTCTGTACCTGTAAAAATCATCATAGCTAAGATCTTCATTTCCTTTTTTACCAAATAAATGAATAAGTAATGTAGTATCAACTGTATCAAAATCATCATCTTCCTGAAAGATTGACATCATTAATATTTGGTTTAATTACAAGTATTTCCAAGCAAATATACACAAAATTAATCAAACTTAAGTTAAAATGCATACAGCAATATGCAACATACTATGCTGATAATGGATGGCCAGTGCAAATGTGACTATTTTAAAAATTGATTTTTATTAAAATTAAAAGAGACAAAACTGGTTTTACTTTATTCAATTTGTTTACAGCAGAGGTTCCCATTGGCATTGATATTTTAAAAGGAGGTCTACAATTATCAAAAGATCAACTGAGTTTTGACAACCAGACATGCACCGGAAAATGACTGGATCAAGATCCAACTGCTTAAAAAAAATTATCAGTATAATTGATAATTAATTGTTTATTAATACAAAGCTTTGCCATACAAAAAAGGCAAGTCTTACTGAAAACACATGGGTATGCTCAGTTTTGGAATTTAGAAGGTCATCCAAGAGAAAGATTCCAAAATTAAAGTTCTTACCAAATCAACATTATTGACTTTCGCCTCTTCCTGCTAAGTGAAAGCAGGCCTTAGTCAAATCAAAAACTTAGTACTGAAAAGAAAAACAGGTTGAATATTTCTGAATGAAGTAATTTAAAATTAAGTTTATAAGGCATTTCTCCCGCCTCCTTAGCATACCTTCATGGTGTAATGGTCAGCACACTCAGCGTGTATTCGAGAGGTCAGAGGTTCAAGTCCTGGTGAGGGCATTGCTCATTTTTCATATCTTCTGCTTCTAAAAAAAATTCTAACGTCTCTACAGTGGCACATGAACTAAAAAGGTGGTGGATGACGATTCTCCATCACCAGGATTTGGCAAACAGGTGCCCTAATCCCCAGTCAGATTTCAAAAGGAGGAGTATACAAGGTACTTCTTCTGCCTTCATGGTGTAATGGTCAGCACACTCGGCGCATATTCGAGAGGTCCGTGATTCTAGTCCCGGCGAGGGCATTGCTCATTTTTCATTTCCTCCGCTTCGAAATAACCTAATGTCTCTACAGTGGCTATCAACCTAAAAAAAGGTGGTAGATGACGATTCTCCAAAACCAGGATTTGGCCCCTTGATCCCCAGTTGCCTTTTAAAAGAGGGTATATAAAGTTTTTCTCCCGCTTTCTTGGCATGCCTTTGTGGTGTTATGGTCAGCACGCTAGGCACGTATTTGAGAGGTCCGTGGTTCGAGTCCAGGCGAGGTCATTTGTCGTTTTTCACATCTCCTCCTTCAAAATAACCTAATGACTCTACATGTTAGGCAATTTTATTCCAACTATTAAAAACATAGCATGCGCACATCAAGTGCTGCCATCACATTAATTAAAATTGAAATTTTGGGCAATTTTCGATGGAATCAGTGATTTTGTATCTGAAAACTTTATATCTGTAAATTTTAAAATAATAAAAATACAAAAAAAAAAAAAAAAAAAAATTAAATAAAATGTATGCCTAATAAACTGTTGTTTTCAGAACTTTTGTTCATTTTCTAAGTCTAATAGTTATCTCTAAGTTATTTATGTGTGATTATTTGTATTATTAGTATGTTGTTTGGTATATATTATAGAGAAAAATGTAAGGAGGGTCAATGAAGAAAACTATTCTTTTAAAAGGGGTTGATACAAGAAAAGGGTTAGGAATCCCTGGTTTAAAGCTTGGCACAGTAATTTTGAAATCCAAATCAATGACTAACATTAACAAATTTGATATTTTTCTTCAACTGAAACATCTCAACTGTAAATGCATTAGGATCACAATAAAATCTTTTTGCTTAGTCAAGTAATCTAACTTTAATGAATATAGAAATTTTGCATTATTATATGAGAGTTTTAAATGTTTAACACACCATTATTTTGAAAATCACTTTCTAGAAAATAGTGGTACAATGAGCAGATTCGCAGAGCTAATAACCTAAAGAACACAATTCAACATAATGAGCATTTTATTAGCTGCATGAATACTTTAAACTATTTATACTCTGAAGACAAGTAGGAATAAAATTTAATTAAATAAGTATCTTCAGATCCTAAAATAGGCACTTCAAGGTCGTTGCCAATCCAATCCAACTGCGATCGTCACACGTGTTGTCAACATCGCATATTACTTATTTTTGTTACCTCGTTTGAGGCTGTAGTTCGAGTTAGTCTTCATTCAGCACTTTTTCATTGAAGCAAAACATGCTAAACAGAAATGATGTGGAGGGAAAAAGTAAGCGACTCAAATTATTTCTTGCAGCTGTTATTCCTATGATTACAAGTCGGGCAATGGAAAATAATTTTGAAGTTTTCATTTTAAAATAATAGACTATAGTGGCTGCACTACTGTGCAAGTAAACCAAGCTTAATCTACAGTAAATATCCTTCTAAACAAATGCAAATGTTTAGAATATTCAAATAAATTGGTTTTACATGCGTTCATAATATTTTGCAACTGACCTGGTGCCAAATAATGAGGTTAATCTCTTGTTAAGAACTTTCTCCACTTTAACTTCATTTGCTAAAATGTACTAAGTGGCTGATTTTAGAATATCCAAATGCTGAGAAAGAGACGTTTGACTTTAATATCATGATTCATCCACTGCAACTCTAAACTCCTTCCCTTCATTCCTGTGATGAATTATGATCTGAAAAATCCTTTGATCTAACAGTGCATACCTCCATTCTGTAAATTATTTCATCCAACAATTTGATTGCTGAAATTTTGTGTCCTTGGGTGGTTTCTTCTAATCCCTTTTAGCCATACCTGCACTCTAGTCTAATACCATCACAAACAATTAAAAGAAGCGGGTCTACAATGTTAGGAACTAAACAAATTAAATTTTCTTTTGAATCTACCATTAAATTTAGTTGTTTTAAACATTAAAATGAAGCCTAAACTTCACACTTATAAAAAACTGCAGCGTAAGTATAAAGCTTTGATGAGAACATAAAAAAGGGGAAAAAAGCCAATTTTGCACCAACCAACCTGATGTAGCAAGCATTTGTTAATATTAGAGACAAAGCACAATACAAAAAATAAATAAATAAATAAATAAAGTTTATGACGAGCCAAAAAGAAGTTATAACTAAACAAGGTGTCAAAAACAAAGAATAAAAGACTTAAAAATTATCTGTCTACACTGTGTTTCATGTTTCATTGAGCACCTTCTCAAGGCGATGACTACTCTTTTCAAAGAAAAAAACTTCTGCAAGCTGCTAATATAGTCACCTTGAAACATAAACACTAGACAATCCTATTATTAACAAAGAAGTTTTATCATATATTAATTTATGTTTAGATTAAGTGTATGCTATATCAATGCAAAAAATTTCCCAACAAAATAAAAAAACTTTTAGATAAAGGAGGAAAAAAGCCCTTTTTATTAAATATCTTATAGAATGATACACTATAGTATTATCTAAAGAAATTTAAGAACTTAAACGCTATGAAAGATTGAGATTATTTGGATATGGGAAAGCACTTGAGGGATAACTGCTTTGGGGAAAGAAGAACTTTCTATGGGAAACTGGCTTATACAAAATGAACCAAATCACAAAAAATAACCACGTAGCCAACCCGTTTGCCAGGAATTTAACTCCCAATATTCAGTGGTCACTCAGCCACTGATGAGGCCAACTAAAGATATAATTTTTGTTTGGATTATTAAAACACATAATGCAAAAAATATACACTATGAATAAATATTACCTGAAGAGTCAAAAACCTTACATAATAAATTTCTAACCATCACTTAATTGATACTTTTATTTTCCTCATTTAATTAAAAAATAAAAACACAGATTTCAACTTCAGAAGTAGTTCTCAGTTATAATTTCTATGCTAAATCTCATTTTCAGATTTATATCTCATACCTAATTTTAATTTGCCTTCTTAGCATGCTTTCACGGTGTAGTGGTCAGCACACTCATTGCGTGTTCGAGAGGTCCGTGGTTCGAGTTCCAACGAGGCCATTGCTCATTTCTCATGTCTCCTGCTAGTAAAATAACCTAATGACTCTACAGTGGCACCCAAACTAAAAAAGGTGGTAGATGATGTTTTCACGAATTGGCGATTGGATCCCCTAATCCCCAGTCCTTCTTTAAAAGGGGGGTCCTTCTTTTTTTATTATAGTATATAAGGTATTTTTCCTGCCTTCATAGCATGCCTTTGTGGAGTAATGGTCAGCACACTCGGCACGTATTCAAGAGGTCCAGGTTCGAGACCCGGTGGGGGCATTGTACATATTTCATGTCTCTTGCTTCGAAATAACCTAATGTCTCTACAAAGCTACTGGTCCCACACTTAAATTGCATGTCAGTTGAAAGCAGCAGATGAGATGTATTTATTAATGTGTTTATTTTATTTTTGTTTGTTTTCATTATGTGTTTGTTTCAAACAGAGGTGAGTAAGTGAAATTAGTTCATCAATTTCGATGAAGGAGAAATGAAATTCCCGAAGTCTAGTTTTTAGACATCTTAATGCACCTTCTACTGCAACATTAGTAAATAATGATTTAACATCAAAAGATTTCCTCATGGCTTCTCTGTGAATTTCATCTCTCCTGCATCGAAATTGATGAACTAATTCCACTTACTCACCTCTGTTTGAAGCAAACACATTTTATTTTCCAAAAAAAAAGTATTATAAGCAAACTGAAAGTTTAGCCATGGGAAGCCCTCTTTGTTCAATCCTTGCTGATATCTACATGCATTATTTTGAATCAAAATTATTTGAAACTTTAAACTTCCCAGTTTGGTTCTGCTAAGTAGATGATAAATTTACCCTGTCTGATGGCAATGAAAATTATTTACATAATGTTCTTTCAATAATTAATTCCATTGATCCTGCTATTCAGTTCACTTTTGAACTTGAGACATCCAATTCTCTTCCATTCCTCGACATTTTGGTCACACGTAACATATCTGACTTCAGTACCACTGTTTATTATAAACCTTCATCGGTTTGCCTTCCACCACACTTCAAATCACATCATCCAACAAAACAGAAGTTAGCTTCATTTTAT